AGCCACATCGCTAAGGACTGTCATACTGAAAATCTATGGAAATAAATTAGCTTTCATTTTTTCGATTTCCCTCTCGTCGAGGGTCATGAAGGGAGATCAGAGGAATAGGTAAGAGAGTAGGGAAAAAAGAGATTGTGAAGGAAAGAAAGGGGAGAGCAAGGGAGAAGCGGGAGAGGGTAGGGGAGAAGTGGGAGCGGGCAGGGGAGAAGGGGGCGGGTAGGGGAGAAGGGGGTTGGGWAGGGAAGAATTGGGAGCGGGTAGGGATGGTGGRATTCGTTTCGTGAGAGGTAAAAATCGGGACTTTGACATAACCATGATCATGCATCACTAGATGGGCACTATTTCCAGCTGAACGAAGTACACAACTCTTTTGRAGCATTATCAAAAGTGTAGATCCCGAGTACTTCCTGGGCTRCAGGACTGGTGACACAGTTTAAATAAGTTTTCATGCATTTAAAAAATATCTCCAAATATAAGACTAATATAGAAACGGCTCACAAGGGTATGTGTATCCTGCCGMGCGGCCAATTGAACCATGACTAGACATTAGCCAAGAGGAGACGATGGGTTCCTGGGAAAAAAAACATATCTGTTCTTATGTCCCAGCCAGCTGTAAGTCAGAACTGCTTGCCAGCAAAGTTATAATACATTCAGAATTCACGAACTTTGCAGGAAAAAAAACCCGAATACTGTATCTCTTAAATACTCAAGTGCTTTAACGGCCGTAACTAGAGGTTTTTCTTTTCAATTTAAAATTCTTGTTCTAAATCACTTTCCCAGGAGAAAAATCGTATAAGAGCAGCTATTTAGAAGAACAGACCTGGTCGGCTCCTGACTAGAATGGGAATAGTCCCGTCTGTCATAGACTTAGTGAACTCAAGTGGCTTTGCAAGAGAATGGGATCGAGGTTTAGATGACCATCTATATATACATACATATAAAAACAACACAATCAGTGTATCTTGAAATATNAAACTTGTGCAGAGTGTCTCTGTTTTGTAGCCGGGCTGACTATCATAACAATAAGTCAATACTGTTAACTATAATCTGAACCTTTCACGTTCTAAAACAATGGAAGAGGAGTTGTATGGATGTTATCATAACAGTGTTATGTAATTTCAATTTCAGTTTATTTACACTGATAAATATTATAATAGGATAAAGACTTACTCTCCGCTATCTTTCGAAGCATGGGTTCTGCTGTGCTGATGCATCCGATAACTGTAACGGCACCGCTATCATTCTCCCACAACTCAACCTTCGTCCTTTCTCGGTGTTTTGCCTTCAGATCATTGAGCAACCCTTTACTCGGGCTCCAATCACAGGGGTCACTTTTAAGGATGGCAAGTACAAGCCCATCTTGAATAACAGCCCTACATCTTAAAAACCCTTTTTTGACGTCGTATTCGGAGGAGACCAATTCATTTGTTTTCCGTTGTAGCTCTTTTGGTTTGTACTCGCGTAATAAACTTGCAATGACATCATGATGAGTGCGATCTGGAGAGGCGTCCCAAGACATGATTTTCAACTTATCATGCTTCAAGATTCCACCATTTATATTTTGGGCTTCACTTTCGACATCTCTTGAGCTCAGATCGTCTTGTTTGTATGATGTGTCACCAGTCACTACTATGATTAGTTTAGTACCTTAAATGAATAGAAAATGTCTAATTTTAACATCGAACGGTTTATATAATCACGACCGAGGAGTAATAGCGCATTTGATGAAATGTGATATGTCAACCTTCGATTGTTAAATGCAAAAAACAACATTCATTCTAGGAAACCCTAGCTCTTTCGACGCTAGGAAAGATCAACAACAGATTACTGCTAGTTTCTCGAGGATGACAAATACTGTATTGCGCTAGAAATATCTAATAGTTTTACATATCAATGTATATCTTGTTTCCATAAGTAGGACAGTCTCTCCATTTCTTCGTGTTCACAGTTATTGAGAAAATATAAATCCCTTACTTTCT